GTTTTTTTTTTGTTTTTTTTTTTTTGGTAACTGGAATTGAACTCAGGCCCTCACCAGGCAGGCAGTGTGCCACTGAACTGTATCCTCAGCCCTGGGAGGTTGAAGTTTGATAATAAAGAGAAGAACACTAAAGAGGAAGAGTTGTTGAGACTTACATTTAAAGTTGAGATTTTGCTGGGCATAGTGGTGCATGCCTGTAATCCCAGTACTCAGGAGGCCGAAGCTGGAGGATGGCTGCAAGTTTGAGGCCAGCCTGGGCTGCAAAGTGAACTTGGTCAGAACTGCATAGCAAGACTCTGCATCAAAAAAACCCAAAAAACTTGTTACAAATATTTTAGTAGATTTGAGGTTTGAAAATGGAATCTCAAAAAAGATAAAACATTGCAAGACTGATGCTGGACACATCATTCTCAAAAACAAAAATGACTGGAAAGTAATCTTTTTTAACTCTAAAAATGTAGTACTTTTTAATTGTTTGAAACAGGGTCTTACTATGTAGCCCCAAGATTATAAGCATGCACCACAAAGCCTGGCCATGAGTACAAAATTTTAAACATCTTTGAAAGACATGAAGCAAGAAAATGTTCAGATCCTGGTGTGGGGTTACAGCGATCCTTCCTAATGAGGGTGCAGTTTGTTCATTTTGTTCATGGTGCTGGAGAAGGGCCTGGACCCCTGAGCTGTGTTCCTGACCCTTTTGATTTTGAACTAGGGTCTCCCTAGTTACCCAGACTGTTCTTGAACTTGCAATCCTCCTGCATCAGCCTTCCAAGTAGCCTGGATTACAAGCATCTGTCACTGCATCTGACTGAGCTTGTTCATTTACAGAAGCCATCCTCAGTGTGGGTGGCATCCTGTCTTCATTACCGAAACGCAGGGTGTGGGTTTTTACCTTCAGCCTGAATGTGTGGGAGAGGTGTAGGTCAGCCTACTGACAACAGCTGGCTGGTCCTTACGTCCTAGCCAGTATCCCTTACTGTGGCCGCTAGAGGGCAACTACCTACTCGGGACAGTACACAGGTTCTATTTTTCATCCCACATGAAATCGGCTTTTTCTTTTTTGTTGAGATAGGATTTCTCTGTGTAGTCCAGACTGGCTTCAAACTCAGGGCAATCCTCCGGCACCATCTGTTAGATACATTTAAGCTTTCATTTTCTACAATCTGCCTATTCTTTAAAAAATAAAAAGGGGGCTGGGGGCTTGGCTCAAGGGTAGAATGCTTGCCTAGCAAGCGGGAAGCCCTGGGTTTGGTCCTTAGCACCAGAAACAAAAAAACCAAAACAATAAACCACAAAAAAGAGCGGAGAAACTGATCAGTCAGTCCGTGTGTTCCCAAAATTCTAGAAGTCATTTTGCAAAGGAGAGGACCCCAGTGGCTATGGAACATAGTTTTGTTCTCTGCTCTTAGGTTCTAAGTATGAATTGCTGAATTGTTGTCATCTAACATGGCTGAAGCCCCAAAACAACAGCTTATATTCCCAGAGATCATCTCCTCCACCCCCACCTCCAGTTCTAGATACAATTTCATTTTTCCAGTACCACAAGGAAGACCCCAATCACTTAGGTATCCCTAAACCTGCCTGCCCCTCAGACACCACCCCTAGCAAACCTCACATAACCCCAACGACCCTTGGTCTCAAGTCAGAGGATCCCCTATCTCCTTTAGATCCTCTCTGTGTCCTTGGAGTCAGTAAAGGCCTCTTACCTTTCCTGTCTCTACTGCGCTGAAAAACCTAACAGGCACCACTGCCACCTTCCAGGGCTGACAGTAACCCTGAAGAACTTCCTGCCAGGGAGGAGCGGCTGAGCGTGAAGTGCTGTCAGGGAGCAAGGGGACCACTGCCCCGCACAGGGACCCAATCGGCTGTCACCATCCACTATCAGGAGCCCATGCTCAAGCCAGGTGATGGAAATGAGGGTTTGTGTGAGAAGTGCTTTGCAATTTTTAGACTTCTTAGCCCTTACTTGCTGGGATATAGTGATGGGAGGGGCTGGCCATATAGCTCAGTGGACTAAAGCACCTGTTTAAGCAGAGTACAGTGGCTGGGGTTCCATCCCTGGCGGATTGAGACTGGGCGTGGTATGGTGCACCTGTAATCCCAGCACTCGGGAGGGTGAAGATGAGAATTACAAGTCTGATCTGTGTAGTGAGACCCTGTAAACCCTGTACTAAATACCAAAAAAATAAAGCAACAGGCGGAAAATGTGGGCCCTGTAGTGCTGGGGACAGGGAAGGCTGCAGCCCAGGATCCCAGGATGTGGCACCACTGTGCTGAGAGCCTGTGCCTTGCCTCAGCCTGCTCCTGCCCACCCTGAGCCAGGGCCAGGTGCCACTTGGTGCCCCGCTGTCACGGTCCTGTGTACAGGAGACACTGAAAGCCTGCCTCAGAAGAAAAGCTTTTATCCGTTTTAAAATTTGACAGTATATTTATTAGAATAAGAGATTAGATTTGTTAAACATCTGGATTAAAGTGATTAAAAGGATTTTCATAGTTTTTAGGCACTATACACACTTGTTTTACAATAGCATTGGTATCTGGATTGGGGAGAAGGTAGAAGTCTGACATGTTTAATGCCTTGATCCTTTTTGACATTCAAAATAAACCCACTATTTTAGAAACACTAATTGAAACCTAAAGCCATAGACCACTAAGTACCCACACGGCATATTTAAAAATAAATACAGAGACACAACCAGAATTCTCCAGATCACCAGGTAGACAAACACTGGTGAAGCCCCGGCTTTCATGGCAGTGAGGGGCTCTGGCTAGATTTTGATGGAAATTCCTGAATTCTACATCAAAAACAAAAAATAAAGTGATGTCCACTTTCCCATGATGCTTGAGTCACAACACAGCATGCGTCCCATGCGCTGCCGAGGACGGACTCTGAGGCCCTTCCTGTCTGCTGAGAGGAGGTGCCTGGCAGGGGGCAGAGCCGCCTGGTATCCCCAAAGCTGGAGACACCAGTGGCAAGGAGCCAGCGACATGGAGCAAGAACAGCCACAGTCACCAATTGTCACTGTTTGGCTTGGCATGTGTTTGATCACCCACAAACAGCCCCAAACACAAAGCCAACCCACTTCTGGTGACAATGGTGACCACAAAGACTATTAAAAGGAACATGAGTACAGCTTGGCACATGCTGCATCTGCCTCCTGGGTCACAGGTGAAATGCACATCTGAGGAGAAGCGAGGGAGAGGCCAGAGAGCCACCAGTGGCTGAGGATGCCTGGGCCACAGCTCAGATGCCAGCCGCGTGGGTCGGGGTGCTGGGCTGGTTAAGGCCAATGGTGGAGCACAGCCAACCTGCGAAGTCCACCTCCTCGGCATCAGAGCGTTTGATGAAAGCATGAACCTGCATGCAAGCATGTGGAAAATGTGTTACAGGAGCCACCAAAAGGGAAACTGGGTCTCAGAGCCAGGTAGCAGGGCCAGCAAGGCCCTGTGACCCTGCCTTCCATACTGAACAGACGGACGTACACATAGGCAGCCAGAGATCACCTCTGGAGCCCATCAGTGCTACAGTGAGGCCCACAAGCCTCCCTCCAGCAGCCCAGAATGGGTCTCCCAGCTGCTGTGAACTGACTCTGGACGAGGCACTACGCTGGGGATGTCCTGGGAGTCCTGGGCAGATGATGGAGGGGGACACCTAGTGCACAGGCTGGTATGGCGAGAATCTGAAGTACTGGCCTTACCATGAGTTGCTTCAAGTCTGCTCTCTCCGCTGGGTTTTTTATTAAGCTGGAAGGAAGGAAGGTAATGAGTGCTTTGGGCTGGGCCAGCTCCAGTTCACACTGCCGTCTGCACTTGGCCGTCCCTGCCAAAGAGGGCACTGAGCCCTCTGCTTCCTGCCCATGCACAATGGCATGTCCAGAGAAGTGCTGGGAGCTGGCCCACACCCAAGAGCCTGAGGCTGAGGACTGGGAGCCCAGCCTGGCCCCCAGCGCACCACAGCAGCAGCCCTAATCCACAGCATAGGTCCTGGCGCTGGCAAGAAAGCTACTGCACCGCTAGAGGGGAGAGGGTACCACTGTGCCCAGCAGAAGCAAAACTGGTAGTCTCTGGGCTGGTGAGATGGCTCAGTGGACTAAAGCACCTACTTAGAACAAGCTTAGCAAAAAAGCACAGGGACCGCGGTTCAATCCCCCAGCACCACATGCCAGCCAGCCCCGCCCCCTGGTGGGTGAGCTGGACACACACACACACACACGCACACGCACACACACACACACACACACACACACACACACAAATAAAAAAAAAAAAAAAAAAAAAAAAAAACAAAAAACTGGTAGTCTCAGGACTGGGGAAGGTAGGCTGATCAATCCAGGGCAGCCTTGCATGATCTGCACGAGTCCTACTTTTGATTTCTTTGTGGCACTGGGGATTGAACCCTGGGCCTCATATATGCCAGTGCTATACTGGAGCTCCAAGAGCCCTCCTGCTGCCTTCCAGATAAGGAGCAAACTTACCATTTATTTACAAAATCCTGAAATTCCAGACTGAAGACTCCATTGGGCAGTTTTGGAGGTGGCTGCAAACACAGGTGGAGGTGTAAGAAATGCCTGGCTCTCCCCCTCAGGCATCTCCTGCACCTCCGGCTTGTCCCGACCCAGTCCACCCCTCCTCCGCACACTGCTATCCCTCACGGAGTCCCAACTGTCTCCAAGCACAGTTAAGAACTGGAAGTGCATCAAGATTTTTAGCACTTGCCTGTCTGGTGGCTAACAAATCCCTGTTACTCCGTAGGCCTCAGTTCTGTTTATTCTTATGAAGCTCATGCCCACTGACCTCTGACCACAGCTCTAAGGGTGTAGCTGGCATGCAGCTGTCAAGAGCAGTTTCTAACAGGAGCAGCTACAAGGACGTACAAAATAGGCAGCTCAGGCCCAGATGCTCCGCAGAAATGAACTCCGAAGCCCTCTTTGCTGAGCCTGCAGAGGCAGAGGGCAGTTAATAAGGCATCCCCTGGCAGACAGCGGGCCTGGGAGGATGCGACCTGTGCACTGCAGAAGCGAGGCTGTCTTCAGGCCTCCGGCCAGAACAGCCACACTGCAAGGCTAATGCTGTTGTATCGCATGGCCCAGGAAAGGTGAGTCGGCTGCGTGACCTGTGCTGGGAGCTGTGTGGCTGCACTGGGAGCAGCTGACCCCCAACAGGGCCTAGGACATTGCTGCTCTGATGTGTATCCTCAAATCAACAAGCGATTGAATAATAAAAATGCAACATTAGCTGGGTACAGCAGTGTGCACCTATAACCTCAACTCTGGGGTAGCCAGAGTGACAGCAACACAATGAAACTCCCATCTCGGGCAAAGAAGACTATTACTAACATCCTTCTGATCCTAGGTTGACTATAAGCCAGCTCTTAGGACCAAGGGCCCTGCAGGCTGTCCCTGCTGCTGAGGGAGGAGGGGTGCGCTCCAGAGGCCAGCAGCCACTCCCAGCCAGGAAGGGCTGTGTCCTAGAAGGGCAGCCCAGGGCCCAAAGGTGGTAGGGGGGCCTGTTTGCTTGTCTGCATGAAGAGGACAGCTATGGCTGACCCGCTGACTGCTTAGGGGACTAAGTAGGCGCATGAGGTATGGCTGCAGGGAGCACGGCGGAGCACTCCCTAGGACAGGCTGCTATGCATCCCAGGCACCTCTCACCTCCACAGGGCTCTGCCCAGTGCCTAACTGGGTGGCATCCTAACTCCTGCCCCAGCAAGGTGCAGACCTGGCCACTCACCTGCCTCCATGGGGCTCAGCACAGCACTGCACACTCAGAGGTCAGCAAAACTTACTGGCACCCCACACCCTCTGGAGTGAACCAGGCTTTTCCCTGGTGAGCTTAGGGACCTTTCTGAGCCCAGAATGAGGTCTCGTTTCATAGAATGGTAAAGTCTTGAGGAAGGCAGAATTGGGTTGCTATCCTGTACCTAAGTGGGACCCCAGCTGCCTCTTCAGCATGTCAGAACCTGTCCCCACCCAGGCCAGCCCCTCCATCCCTTTAGAGGAGGAGGAAGAAGGACTCGGAGCTGCCTGCACACCCCAGGGAGGGGCTGACAGCTTCTAAACCAGCCACTCATCCCACAGCAGGAGCACCTGGGGACCCCAGTGCGGAGAGCACTTGGCTTCCCGCCCGCTGTTACCTAGGGGTGCCCTACGAAGAGCACACAAATTCCCAGTGAGGGGCTAGCCATCCTCACCTCGTTGACTATGTAATCCAGCAACTCGAAAATCGCCATGGGAGGCCGGCTGTCCATTCCGTATGCTACAGGTTTCATGCAAAGGAAAAGGAAAACTTAGAACAGCCAGGTGACTATGCATAAGCAGGATACGGGCCCGTGATGGCCACAGTCTGGGCCCTGCCACAGCCAAAGTGTGCACACTTCCGCCAATTTTGGGTGGCCACTAAGACAAAGTGAGTTTTTAAAGCACACACGGACAGGGATTTATGTACCTCTTCCTGCCTAGGAGGGGCAAATGGGGTGGGCCAGGACCCAAAGCCCAGCCCCCCGTGACTGGCAGCAGCCCCACAGGTGCCCCCTTCCCCTTGCCACACCAGCTGTCCAAGGGAACCTTGTGTATCACAGTGGCCACCACACAGTGCTCGGCGTGCACTTGGCCTTGGCATATTAAATATTCTGTGCCTCAGTTTCCTTACTTGTGAAACAGACCATAACAGTGCCCACAGCCAGAGGAGCCACTGCCGGGGTGGGCTCTCAGGAAGCTGGAGGCAACTGGGGCTGTGGGCCTGGGCTCTCTTCCAGCGGATGGAAATGCTCTGGCGGGGGAGGGCGGTGATGGCTGCCCAACAGAGGAATACGCTACAAACCACAGAACCTGTGTGTGCGCGTGTGCACGTGCGCGCGCATGTGTGCCTGGGGAATGAACTGAGGGCCTCTGCACTGAGCTACGCCAGCCCGGGGTAGGCTCAAACCTAGGATCCCAGGGTGCTGGCATTCCAGGTGTGCATTTCCACACCCAGCTCGGCTCCATACTTTAAAGTGCCAATTTTTTTTTTTAAATATTTATTTATTTTTATTTATTACATTTATTTATTGTGTGTGTGTGTGTGTGGCCAGCTCAGCCCACCAGGGGACGGGGCTGGCTGGCATGTGGTGCTGGAGGATTGAACCGTGGTCCTTGTGCTTTGCCAAGCTTGTTTCAAGTAGGTGCTTTAGACCACTGAGCCATCTCTCCAGCCCTAAAGTGCCAATTTTATGCTATGTGAATTTATCTCAATGAACAATGTATCCACTGAGCAATGTCATGGTTAAAAGGCAACTAATGTTAAGTGCTAAGCACTCCGCCTAGAACAAAGTGGGCACTCAGCACATGGCAGGAAGTTGTATGCCCAGCCGTGATTCCCACCCCCACCTGCAGACCCCTTCCCCACCGCTCCCTCACTGCAGACAGGGGCACAGCCAGATGTGGGGAGCACACCTGTAATCCCAGTCCCTGAGAGGCTGAAGCAGGAGGATCACTGAGAGTTAAAGGCCAGCCTCCACTACATACCAAAACCTCAAAGCAAAACAGAGAGGCAGGGCTGGCAGAAGGTGCAGGGACCCAGCTGCTCCCAAACCGGAGAGTAAGTCCCCAAGCCCAGCTAAAAGCATAGCGGCCACTCACAGCTGAGGGGTCTCCCAGGTGTCCTGGGCCTAGGTGGTGTCTCGGCCGCATCTCCCTCCACCTGGCACCCGAACATCAGCTCCAACTCCTTGGCGTCTGGAGGGGGGATGGGGTACCTCCCAACTGCCATCTCCACCAGAGAAAGCCCCATGCTCCAGATGTCCGACTGCACTGAGTAGTGGGTGCCCTGCAGTCTTTCTGGCTGCAGAGAGACAGGAGACACAGATCAGTTACCTGGGACAGCTCCCAACCGTTTCAGGGTCCTCTTGCACTTGCTGTCTCAGTCATCCCCAAATCATGTTCACCAGATACTAGCTAACTGGGGTGCACACCTTCCTTTCTGCTCTCTCCCCTGTAACCTGCTCTGGGCCCACAGCAGCTCAGCCCCTTCTGGCTACCCTTCTCCAACCGATGGGCCACCTGTCTAAAAGGCCCACAGTGATAGGCTCATCGTCCTGCCTAAGGCTCAAATACGAAGCTTCTGGAGCACAAATGGGCTGATGCAGTGGATAAAGGCACAAAGGATCGAAGGCCAAGACAGCCAGATCCTGAGCTTCAGGTTCCTTGTCTGTAAAACGGAGTCGCTGCTGGTACTGATAACAAGGGCAAGACAGAATGCCCACTCTGCTCACTGGCATCACTGAGGAGGTGAAAACAAACCAATGAAAATGAAAATCTATGTCACATGTTGCAAATGCTCAACAAGAACGAGCTGACACTCGTGGGAAGAGTCCAAGAGAAAAAGGTATACAGTGCTATACAGAAGTGTTATTTTTACTGTGCATTACAGTATTTCAGGTAATGTGTATTTCAAGGACACCATGAAAACCTTTACTCTGACCATGGAATATTTATTTAAGTATTAAATTAACTTCTCCCAGGGAATGTGCCACTAACCCTAACGCTAGACTATTTTAGACTGACCACATAAGCACAAAACACAACACCTGAAACTGGGTCCCAAGTTTCAGGCCTATTTGCTGCTTTGAGACCAGCTGGCACCCAATGCCCAGGGGATGAGTGGCTCAGTTCCCAGCAGCTCAGGGAAGCAGCAAAGGGGATGACAGGGCAGTGTGAAGAAGCAGCCCATGGCCAGTGGCTTGTGGAGGGGTGCAAACAGCATGAGGGCTGTGATGGGGCAGAAGGACAAAGCGGGCAGGAGCACGTGCAAGGGGCAGGGCAGCTGGCTCCAACCCTGCCCTTTGAGGAAGAAGAAGATAACATCACTTCCCCGAGGCTTCCAGACAGAGCAGGACGTGTGTGGGAAGGAGCACCTGACCACACCAAGGCCAAATACAGGTACAGCTAGGCTCAGCCTCCTGGCCTGCCACCCACAGCCCCCAGCCGACCACGTGCATGCATTCCTCCCCGCCTACTTGACTCGGCTCACCCAACCTGCCGCCTCCTCCCTCCCCATCACCCTGCACCCGGTCCCTTGCAGGGGCCTGCACACACCAGCAACCAGACAATCACTTATCACCTGCCTGCCTTGTCCCACATCCGTCCCCAGGAACAAGGGACATCTGCAGCTGGCTCTGCTTCAGAGCTCGCAAGCATGGGGTCCACTACAAAGTGCTCCAGTGGTGGTGGGAGCCAGCTGCACAGAGGACAGGATGGATGCTGGCCAGACTGGGTCAGGTGACTGGGAGACAGGGTGGAGGAATAAGAGGAAATATGGGGAGGAGGGAGAGAAGGAAAGGAGGGAAGAGGAGAAGAGAAGAAGGAAGAGGAAGGGGGAGGAGGAGGAAGAGGAGGGAACGGGGGAGGAAGGGCAAAATGGAGACTCGGGAGCGGAGGAACTGCTGGCTGCTAAGCACACAGGTACAGGAAGGACTTAGAAAATGGTTTCTGTCCCAAGCAGTGATGCCGTTTGCTGCTAACAGAAAAGGAGAGGTGGTACAGCCTGCACTGAGGCCACACCAGGCACTCTGGGAGTAGGGACAACCTGGTAAAGAGGGCCTTTGAATGAGGCCAGGGCTGGGCTGGGCTGCTGCAATCTCTCCTCATCAGTTAAAACCCCAACTGCAGGCAGCCCAGGCCTGTGACACGCCGAGGTCATGTCACAGACACTAACTTGGAGAAGACCCCTGGGCCTCCCTCCTCTGCCACCTCTGCCTCCAATCTGGCACTCAACACAAGACTGGCTCGGTAGCAACGGCTGTCTCTGCCCCACCAAGAAGCCTATGGAATGGGACGTGCCGCCCGTACCGACATGTAGGACCTGGTGCCCACGAAGGAATTGGCCATGGAGTCAATGAGCTGCCCGCTGACCCCGAAGTCACAGAGCTTGATCTCCCCGCGGGAGTTGACCAGGATGTTGGAGGGCTTGACATCTGCAGAAAGAGGGACAGCAAGTTAGGGCAGTGATGCAGGCAGGCTGGGAGGGGCCGGGCAAGACGGAGTCAGGAACGGATGTCCCTGGGAGGCAGCTCTTGCCCTGCACACACCAGAGGCCCAAGCCCTGTGTCCCTCTAGTTCCAGGGCCAAAAGAGGGCATGGGATGAAGTGACCAATGGCTGCAGAAGCAGGAAAGAAATTTCTATTCTGAGGATGCCAGATTCAAGCCAGATGACCAACAGGAAGGAGTCAGTCACCACAGTCAAGCTTTTAAAGTCTGTTTAAGCAGAGCATGGTGGTGCATGCCTGGCATGCTAGCAGTCGGCAGGCCAAGGTAGGAGGATCACCATGAGTTGAAGGCCAGCCTAGCCTACATAGTGAGTTCAAAACCAGCCTGAACTGCACAGCAAGACCCTATTTAAAAAACAAAACAAAACAAAACAAAACAAAAAAAACCTTAAGTCTGTTTTTCCAACTCCTCCTGGTGAGAGTGTCTGTGGCCACATCACTAGGGCGGCAGACAAGCGCAGACAACGAGACTGCCACGCCCACGTAAATACAGCCCAGAGGCTAACCGGACACGCCCCCGTCCTGGACACAGAGCCAGGGCCTTTGCAAGGACTTCATTGCGCCCATTTATATTCTTCATTTGAGGCACAGTCTAACTTAGTCTAAGACCCTAAATTGCCCAATCTTTTCCTTCTGAATTTAAGCTTCTGTCTATAAACTTAGGCTGCTGCCTCAGTTCTAATTTCTATGACAGCTGAGACAAGGTAGCCCAGGTCCCAAGAGCTCGCTCAAGGTCACAGAGCAAACACCAAATAATGCAGAAAGAAGAGCCCAGGCCTTCTGACACCTGGAGCCACCCTCTGCCCACCTGTGGCTCAGCGCATGGTCCCAGGCACCTGCCACGTACGGGGAGGTGGCAATGTCAAACTGGTCAAATCCCCACTGTTCAGAACCTCGTATTTTTAGTGTGAGAAGGCTGACAAGAAAGGAGCCAAGACCCACATGCAGGGCCAGGTGGTCTGCGAGCCTCAAAGCAAACAAACCTAAAGCCAGGCATGGGCACTCAGGGCCAGGGGCTGCTCTGACAGCCAAAGAACGGGACCATGTGACCTCGGGGAGAGATGCAGGGCCCCACACTCCCTCCCCAGGCCTTGTGCTAGGACAGGCCCCAGGGCACAGGCAAGAGTCCACAGCTGCCTGTGGGAGACAGCACCCCAGGTCACATGTGTGCAGAGGGATCTGGAGACAGGCGTGCACCATGCACTGTGCTGCCTCTGCACGCAAGCAAGAGGAGCCCTGGCTAAAGAGACCAATAGCCTGAGTTCAAGTCCCAGCACTGCCATCTGCTGTCCCTGCTCCTCTCTGGGCTGGCTATGCCATGGTCAGTAGAGCAGCACCCGCTGTGCTCTCATGGCGGCATAAGGGTGGTGTCATGAGCCAGGGGCACCTCACTCCCAGACCTGCAGCCCCAAGGACACTTTCTACTGCCAGGATGTGGATATCAGTGGCACAGGGAAGGCAGGTGCCCCTTGTCCCTCTTGCTGACCTGGAAAGTCAGACAGGAGACCTGGGCACTTAAGACTGCCGTTCCACCACACGTACCCACCCCCTTCAGCAAGCCCTGGGTGCAGGACAGACCTCTGGGCCAGAAGGCTACCTTGTGGGCACCCTCGTCAGCCCAGCTCTGGAGCCAGCCCACCTGCAGCTCCCCTTACCCAGTCTACAGGCGACCAGAACCCCAGCATGGCAGCCCCTGCCACAGCTCTGGCCCCTTCACCTGCCTTCATCCTCCCCGCCTCCCTTCCCTGCCCTGGGCTACCTGACCTCTTCTATGCTGGCCCACCCTCCTATTCCCACCTCCAGCCAGAGCCCACCCTGCTCTTCTCTCGGGCCTAGGAGAGCGCCCCTTGTAGGGGATAGAACAGGCGCCAGCCCTCTACTTCCAGAGCCTCCCCAGCCCACAGGTCCTCTCAGATCCCTCAATGGCAAGAGTGATGCTGGAGGAGCCCAGGCCAGGCTGTGTCCTTCATCCTTGGGCTCCCAGGTCAAGGGCTTCCCTGTGGACCGCACAAGATGCCTAGGCCTGGTGCCCGACCCTGCAGTGACAGGTAATCCTTCAACCAAAAGAGACCTATAATGCCAGCACCAGAGGCTGAGGCAAGAGGATCACTGTGCATTTGTGCCCAGTCTGGGCTACGCAGTGGGATACTATTGCAAAAATCCAAACAAATAAATAGAAAGAGAGAATGAGAAGTTTTTATTTTAAAAAACCCAAACAACCTACAAGGAAGAAAGGGTGGGGTTTTCTTGGGGGGGGGGTTGTTTTATTTTGTTTTGTTGAGACAGGGTCTTGCTATGTAGTTCAGGCTGCCTTGAACTCAACGTGCAGCCCAGGCTGGCCTCAAACTCTCAGTGACCCTCCTGCTTAGCCCCCCAAGTGCATCACCATGCCCGGCTTCTGCTATATTCTGCCCCAGAAATAACTGCTGTTCAGAGCCCCTGAATTTCCCACAAAAATGTATTTCAAGGTTTAATTTCTAAGTATTTTCTCTCTCTCTAAAATAGGGGCTTGGGGGCCGGGGAGATGGCTCAGTAGAATAAGTGCTTCCCTGGCAAGTGCATGGGCCTGAGTTCAATCCCTGGTTCTGCCAAAATAAATAGATAGATAGATAGATAGATAGATAGATAGATAGATAGATAGATAGATAGATAGATAAAATAGGGTTTTGGGTAAAATAATTCAGGGGCCAATGATTTATCCCACAACACTGATATGGCGTGGCTGCCCTGAGCACTGAGGAAACAGGACACAGTCCTGGCTCCTATCTTTAAGGCTCTCACCACCAGGGGAGACCAAAACCAGCCCAGCCCAAAGCTCATGTGCACAGTGTGACAGGCAGCCACGGAGGTGGGCTGGGGTCTCCCAGGAGAAGCGTCGGACTCTCTTGAGAGTAGCACCCCTAGGCCTCCAGTGTCCTGGTGCCTTCCTTTTTCTTGGTTTAGGTAATAAAGGAGCTGTGTTCCCTAAGGTGTAGAAGGGTAGCCTTGAGAGACAGACAGCACCTCTGGGGAGCCTGGGACAGTCTGAAGAGAGAGAAGGCAGGAAGGAGGGGGCCTGACAAGTAGCAAGAGGGGTGACGCCAAAGAACAGACTTGCTCATCTGTGACATGGGCCAACTCCAAACTGAAATGATCCTGGAAAAGCAAGAACTGAAGGTTTCAAAAGGGCAAGCAAGACTATAAATGTCTTACTATTTATTTACTCACATAGTTCCTCGTGCACGCCAAGTAACTGCATTCCTGGGAGCCCCACTCCTGGCCCCCAATGAGGTTTTGGAGATGGTAATTCGAGGTTTCAGACCACCTCTTCCTGGCACTCTTGGCAAAGCCCTAAGACCTCTGTGATGAAGAACCAGAAAGGCGCCACGATGGGCAAGCTAACCTGTGGCCAGCCAGGCCCACCTCCAGCTCCAGGGCCCCGGGGGCACGAACTAGGAAGGAGGCAATGAAAACCCAGAGAAATCCAAAACCCCACCAGCCACCACTGCAGCCTCCTTTCCTCTCTCCTTCTCAAGTCAGCTGACAGCCGAGACGGCCTGGGAGGCCATGGAGCTCTGGTGTATGGGCACGTACTGGGCCAGGCCTGGGAAACATCTGTTCAACACCATGGTGTGAGCGGGCACTGAGACCTCGCAGCAGAGGCAGGATGCCCCAAGTTGGGCTGCGGTTAGCCCATATTCTTGATGGGGTGCCCTCCCCAGTACCCAGACAGCCAGACCCAGATAGCAGGGCTCCCAGGAAACCACAAAAAGCTCACTCAAGTCACTAGAAAGCTGAGGCTGGGGGAGGAGATGCTAGGGCACGCTGAGAACGCCATGGCTCTGCCCTGGCACCGTGGCTCAGCACCTGCTGCCCACTTGGGCAGATGCAGCAGAGCCTGGCGCAGAAGGAATCAGCCATCACTGTCCCACCAAGGGCTCCGGGAACAGGGCCCAAGCCTACCAAATGGTGTTCTCATCCCCATCCCCTCCACCCACAGCATCTAGAAAGCCTCTCCCCCAGAGACAAACGGCTCTGTCCTCCCATTCTGCACCCCTGGCTGCCCACCCACACCTTTCCCTGAGCCCTAGACACATACAGTCACACATACAGTGTCACAAAAACTCAGGATTGGTGGCATGAGCACATGCCATTCCAAGAAATGGCCTGAATTTTTAACACAGGATGTGGCAAGAGCCACAGAGACAGATTACACTGAGGGAAGAAAGGGAAGCAGAAAAGGAGGGGAGGGACTGGAAGGGAAGTGGGTGGTGGTGTTCCTGTGACACGCATGGACACTGAACATCCACAAGGAAGTTCCTTGCCAGAAGGAATCTCCCCGGCAAGAGAAGCCCACATGGAAGCAGCACCCCACCCCATACCACCCAGGTTAGAGCCCAACTTAGCACAAGGCTGGGCCCCACCACAGCCAGGACAGCCATGCTGACCACCAGAATGCTAAGCACTTGGTACTCAAACCAGACATGAGCTAAAATCCTCTTCTGACCCACTGCTGGCTAATGCTGCTCTGCAGGAGGAGAGAGGGTTAAAAGACTCAGCAAAAGGAAACACGTGGCCTATGGGTTCATCTTCAAACGAGGCCCTCTACTCAGGTCACCCTCTGTGCTTGTGACTGAGGATCCAGCAAACCAGGCATCGGCTATGTCCCTGGGTCATGGCTCAGCAGGAATCACCACCAGCGTCCAAAGAAGAGGTCAGAAGGCCAAGCTCCTCCCCTGGCTGGGGACACATGGAGACAGGGATCATTTGGGAGAGGCTATCTAGGGCCAGGGATATAGCTCAGTGATGTAGTGCATACCTGGTAAGCGCTAGGTCATGGATTCAATTTGCAGTAAAAAGAGAGAAAGAAAGAAAGAAAGAAAGAAAGAAAGAAAGAAAGAAAGAAAGAAAGAAAGAAAGAAAGAAAGAGAAAACGAACGACCACCTCCCTCCATACAACAGCTCTGGGGGAGGCATGCCTTCCTCCTTCATGCTCCTGAAGCTCTAGGTGCAGACTAATAAGCTAGAGACCCCGTCCCCAGTCCCAAGGCCACCAGCCCTGTGGGTCATTCAACAGACTGCGTCACTCACAGGGCCTCCCCTAGCCAGGGTGACCCAAGCAGTTCCAGGCACCTGACCCAGGAGAAAAACTCAGAAGCACTCTTTTCTCTGAAACAGGACTATAAAACGGGAAGCAATGGCCGTTTCTTGGAGAAACAGATGAGAGAGAAAAGATAACACCCTTTACAAGTACTGCATGTTCTACTGGAAGTGTAGGAGCTAGCTAACGGCAGGCGGGGGGTAGAGATCCAAGCAAGAGGCTCTGTGCGCCCTGCCCCAGAGGGAAGCACCCCGCGCTCCACACCAGCTAGCCCTTGGCTGCAGTGATGGGCCCGGTCCTGGGTAGATGCTCTCGCCAGAGCCCATCAGTGGGCCCAGCACCCGGGTGGGCCATAGCATGGCGGAGCTTCTCCTGGGCTAGGGAGCACCATGAACCAGGTCTGTCTGGAACCTAGGGAGGACCACTCTACTCTGAGTGAGGACACCCTGCCTGAGAAGGCTGCCCATGAGAATGAGCACAGCTGGGAGGTGGCTGCAGCCACACACTTCACCCTTCATCTCTGCCTTCAGACTTCCTGGAGACGCAAACCCACACAATCCTTCCTCTCATTAGTAATCTTGAATTCTGACACAGCCAAAGAATTCTGACTAATAAATTATGTCGCATCAGATTCTGCTTGAAATTGGCAAGGTAATGAGTCATGCATAAAAAATGACATTGTTTATGTTTCACCGTACACTAGAGTCGTTTACAGATCAGTCTCTTTCCCCTGGAAGCCACAATTCATTTAGGAGCTGTCTTTATGGCCTCCGTGGTGATTCATCCAGTACCTCGCACTTGGCAGGTATTCTATAAATATTTTACAAATACGAACTGCCTGTCTCAAATGAGGGAGGAGATTGTGCGGAGGACCTAGTGTGAAGAAGCGTGCACAGCACCCACCTACGCCTGGGGAGCGGCTCGGGGACTCAGGGAAAATGCGCGCTCTCCAGAGCCACAGGCCCGCCGCAGGCCAACTGCACCACCAAGGAGACAGCCAGACAGCTTGGAAGCAGCTCCCAAGGTGAAATCCAGAAGCTGAGCTCCTGTGCTGAGGACTCGGCTGCACCTGACCTGCTCCATGCTGGCAGATAGTGGCTCAGTGGCCAGGCTGACACCTCCTGTTCTCTCCATCCCCACCTGGTTGGATGCACCAGACAAGCAGAAAGCCAGCCACGCCTGGGGCATGACACACGCGCCTGGCAGAGGATGCCCTGACCAAACTATACCTGCATACACCTGGCCTCCTGCACCATGCCTATGCTGCTTCTGCTAAAGCTCTGGCAGCTGCTCTGCCTTGGTGACCCCCTCCCACCCTGGCCTTGCCTACAGTGGCATGCAGCTTTTGCTCCTCTAGCTTCCGAAGATTTGGAGCTTCCCCAGGATCCTTTAAATGACTAAATTTCAAGAAGCTTAAACCAAGTTTAAACCAGAAACCAAAGGTGCTTTCTGGCAAGGGGAATCACTGAAACCCTCTCCCGCCTGCCCGCTGAGCTAACACTGATGAAGGGCCCGCCATGCACCAAGCGCTGCTCTAAGTGCGTTGTGTGCACTGTCTTTTTTTTTTTTTTTTTTCGGAACTGGGGATTGAACTCAGGCCCTTGCACTTGCCGGAGAAGTGCTTATTCCACTATGCACTGTCTTATTTAATCCTCCCAACATCTTCAGGGAGGCCTCGGTTTCTCCATTCTCTTGAGATTTGTAAAAGCTAAGTAATCAGCCAACGTCATTAGTAAATAGCAGTCAAGACTTTACTGTTGTGAAAAGGTGAAAAAACAGACCACGATACTCTGTCCCTGCTATCTGCAAGAGACAGTCTTCACGTGCTTCCAGGCCGCCTGCTTTGGCCAATGAATGTCAACATGCTGATAATGCAGAGGCTGCAAAGACCCGAGAGCTGGGTACGTGTGTGCTACACTAGGCCCATGCCAAAGGAAGGAAGTGCTAGCCCAGGGGGACCACACAGGAAAAGAGGCCTGCCAGCCCACAGAATGCTGGAAGCTATCAAATTATTGTTGGTTTTCTTCTTTTTCTTTTTTTTGATCCCTAGGGGTACCAGGGATCAAACTCAGGACCTTACACTTGCCAGGCAGGCACTTACACCACTGAGCTATCTCCCCGGCCTACTGCTAACTTTTGGTGCACGCCTGTCATCCCAGGACTTGGGAGGCTGGGGCAGGAGGATTGTATGAGCTGGAGGCCAGCCTGGACAGTAGGGTGAATTCAAAGCTAACCTAGATAGCAAGACCTTGTCTAGGGGCC